CCCATGATTTTTGAAACTCATACGAGTCTTCCCTCAAACTGAACTCATCTCGAATTCAAGTTTTATTGAATCGGACTCTGGTCTAATAAACTTGTCGGTTTACTTTTTGATCTTGACAGACGGGTCAAATCAGTATTTGTATTTTCATCACGCAGTGTGTAATGTGATGTTTTACGCACGCTCCGCGTGCGCAAAACCTCACTTCCCACACATTGTGATGAAAAATAGGGTTCGATATTCGCGAGAAAAGTGTTTTTTCCGAACTCGGGGCGGAAAAAGCTTCATTTTCTCGCCAGTATAGAGGGAAGATAACGATGTTCTGCTCCCCCGCCATAAGAAATAACTCCTCGCCTAGAAAGGACTCTCTTCATGGTCCGTGCTGGCTGTTTCCAGCCACAAACCATATTCTCAATGTTCGTCGTGACTTAAATATACGCCTTGAAATAAAAAAATTTTATTCTCACGGTGACTCCGCCATCTTAATAAACTCCACTTGTCCACAAATTTTACTGTGTAATGTGTAGTATTCTCCTAGTCTCTACCAAATTCATTGCGTAAAATATGTGATGTCATTAATTACGAATTAGAGGTTAATGAAGGACGATAAAAATGAGTGACGAATATATAACCCAATTTATGGCGAGTGATGACAGTGATATACCTCGTGAAATTCTCGAAGAAGCACAAATTTATTTTGATGATACTCTACCTGAAAAATCTAAAGAGAAATATATAAAACGTTATGATGATTTCATGAAATGGCAACAACAGAAGGCATATAATTCCTTTGATGAGCCAACTCTAATGGTTTATTTCGGTCACTTGTCACAGACAAATTGTCCCACAACTCTGTGGTCCATCTATTCAATGCTTAAAAACGTATTGGTAGCGAGACAGAATGTGAACATTGACAAGTATAAACAGCTTGTTGCATGACTAAAGAAGAGAGATAAAGTATATGTACCCAAGAAGGCAAAAATTCTGATGCCAGAACATGTGGCCGAATTCTTGTCAACAGTACCTGATTATGATCATCTCCTCACAAAGGTAATTATCCTCAACAAATCTGTAGCGAAGTAGTCAATGAGGTTGAGTTGATTTCAATTCTCGATTATTTGTCGATCAATATCTCCAAAACTGAGGGGAATAATAAAATCGTTATAGACACCTTTTTGCTCACAAAATCAGGATCTACAAAAAAGGTTCTAACAAAAATTTCGCTATTTCACTTAGTTTCCGAGATATTGATCGACAAATAACCGAAAATCAAAATCAACATAACCTCCTTGACCACTTCGCTACAGAAATGCATATAGGGGAACCAATGCGATTAAGCTGTCGTGTTGAATTTGAAATAAATAATCATGACGATCTTCATTTTTTCTATTGTGGTTATCGGACTGTTAGGCACCCTCAGGAAGCAAGATCTCTGGAATTTGAATGCTAAAGATGTTCAGGACGATCCACAAAAACGTGAATTGTTATTTTCCTTGGAGACAACTAAAAATGGTCAACCCAAGGATTTTCTTGTGGATGCTGAGTATTACCCACTGGTAAAGAAATATATGACATTACGAGGATCAAACATCACAACGCCCAACTTTTTCTTTCAGTATCACAAAGGGAAATGTTCAAATCAGAACGTTGGTGAACACACATTTGCTCACATGCCTCGAGAAATCGCCAAATATCTAGAGTTGGATACACCCTCTGATTACACAGGACATTGCTTCCGCCGTTCTTCGGCCTCAATGCTGGCTGATGCAGGTGCAAGTATGACTTCAATTCAACTTGCAGGAGGGTGGCAGTCACCTGCAGTTGCTCGAGGATATATACAGAAATCCAAGAGAACCAAGAGAATAATCAGTCAAAGAGAGAGATAAGAGAGTCTATCAATTTCCAGAATGCCTCGGCATTTTTGCAGCCGCAGATCGACCCAGGATTACAAATTCAGCAGCATCAATTCCACAATAACCTCCCATGCAAAACACAAAACTTCAGGAACGAGACAATCACGAGAGAGTCCATTAACGAAATGACTCAAAATAAAGAAAATGAATTGCCTAATCTCAACACTTCATTTGTGAATTATAATGAGAATACACCAGCAGTCCATATTCCTCAGAATTACACATCAAGAATTAGAGAGGAAATTAACAACAATTTCCCGTTGAGAACATCCAACTCGAGAAGCGAGACAATCAGAGGCGAGTTCAATGACGATGTGACTAACAACAACAATGATAATTATAATACAACGATCAGTGAGCAGAATACGCAAGAAATAACTACCAAAGACATTCAAGGTATTACGATTAATAATTATGGGACAGTGAATATTTACAATCATAGAGGAAAATAATAACTACGATGACTGAACAAACAAAAATTGCCAAAAAACGNAATTTGAGAGTGAATTTCTGTGGTTCCCGGTAGCTTAGTCGGTAAGAGTGCCCGGCGCGTATCTGGGAGACCCGGGTTCGATTCCCGGCTGGGTGAAACGGAAATTTTTTCTCTCTAAATTCTAATTCTCTTAGAGTTTTTTTTTATAGGCATATGGCTATACATATGCCTATATATAGGTACCCCCCCATATATGGGTACCCCCCCATATATGGGCACCCCGCTATATATGAACCCCCCCCCATATATGGGCACCCCCTACATATGGGCACCACCCCATATATATAGGCACCCCCCCATATATAGACACCCCTCATATATGGGCACCCCCCATATATATAGGCACCCCCACATATATGGGCCCCCCCTATACTATGGGCACCCCTCTATATATGGGCATCCCCCCATATATGGACAGCCCCCTTAGAACCACCATGACCCTTATGACCCTTACAACCCCTATGACCCTCGTGACCCTTAGCACTCCTATGACCCTTATGACACTCAGCGCTCCTATGACCCTCGTGACCCTTAGCACTCCTATGACCCTCGTGATCCTTAGCACCTCTATGACATTTAGAACCCCTATGACCCTCGTGACTTTGAGACCCTCGTGACCCTTATAACCCTTAGCCCCTCTATGACCTTTATGACCCTTAACACCCCTATGACACTTAGCACTTCTCTGACCCTCGTGATCCTTATGTTCCTTAGCACCTCTATGACCCTCGTGACCCTTATGATCCTTAGCTGCTCTATGACCCTTATGACCCTCAGCACCTATATGACCTTCGTGACCCTTAAGACCCTTATTACATCTATGACCCTCGTGGTCCTCATTACTCTTAGCCCTTCTGTGACCCATATGACCCCTAGCACCCCTATGACCCTTGACTCTTGAGACCCTTGAGACCCTCGTGACCCTTACGACCCTTAGCCTCTCCATAACCTTTATGACCCTTAACACCCCTATGACCCTTGGCACCTCTATGACCCTAGTGACCATTATGACCTTTGGCACCTCTATGACTATCGTGACCCTTATGACGCTTAGCCCCTCTATGACCCTTATGACTCTTAACATCCCTATGAGCCTTATGACCCTTAGAGCCCTTATAAGTCTCAAGACCCTTCAGACCCTCTAGACCTTTCAGAACTTCGTGACCCTTGTGAACCTTGAAAATTTTCAGGTCTTAATTTATATGGCCTCTGACCCTTCTGACCCTTCTGAGTACTGAAACCGCTCAGCACTGAAAATTTTCAGTGTCCTACGAAACTATTTTTTTTATTATATAGAGAGACTAGGGGGCTTCGCCCCCTGCTCGCTCCGCTCGCCAACCCGGGGGGCTTTGCCCCCCCCCCCCACTCGCTTCGCTCGTTCCCCCCCCCGTCCGTGTGACCGCAGCAGTGTGACCATACCCATAAACATCTTCCATATCAGCACCCCCTAATATAGTAATCCTCCATAAATATCGATATCCCCTTTATGACCACCCCCTCATATAGACATCCCTTATAAATACACGTACTTCCTCGTATAGGCACCCAGCGTCCCCTGAATTTGAGCGTCCCCTGAATTTAAGCGTCCCCTGAATTTGAGTGTCCCCTGAATTTTTCGCCTTATTTTTTTATTTATATAGAGAGATTATCTTCTGAACATTGTATTGAGGAAAAATTCAAGCCCCCCACGTCCGGAAAAATAGTATGTGAGCCACGCCGAGAAAAGTGCCGTTCAAGGGACGTGTTATCACGCCGTCCCTTAAAACGGCACTTTTCTCGGCTAGGCACACAATATACTATTAGACTCTTGGGATTATATCACTCGCCTTCGGCTCGTGCTATAAACCTCCCACGAGCCCAAAAACACTTTCCCGCGATCGTATCAAATTATACTATTTCGAAACCTAAAATGTACTATCCGTTTGATTGTGGTTATTATTCTTAGTATATTTTATTTATTGAGGATTCGGGCGCATGTGGGCTTTATTTATTTCCTCTTAATTATGAATTTATATCGATTGGTTTGTTTACAATTTTCATGTTCTTTGAGTGTGTCAAAGAGCGATATTGGGGCCAATTTGGAACAAACAAAAATTGCTGAAAGAACTCGAAATTAATAAAAAATAATAACTCCCTTAACTATCAATATTTTTCAACTTTCTTTTCCAAAATTGGTGTCTAACCCCTCATCGGCCGATGGCCTCCCGTTAATTCGAATACGAATACGGCTTGCACGGAGAATAACATTTTTTTGAAGAGACTAAATCTATTTTTTCAATCAAAATTTTCAATCTCGGCGCACGCTTTGCTTGTTTGGCACAAATAATCCTTGTTTGATAATGGTTAACGAACGATTTTTTTCACACAAGTAAGACTGGTTTGAGAAGTCTGCTGTTTTCTCTTAGTGATGTGGCATGAACGTCGTAGTTGACGGGCTAATAGCCATTTTTTCAGAAAATAATTGAGACGAAAATCCTCAGCATCGACTTTTTTAGCCTGCTGATTTAGCGTGGATGTGTTCATATACAATTTCCACAAAAATACTTACAGCAGTAAATTCCCCTTGAAAGATATCTTACACGACATATTATTCAAAGGCATATTACTGCAGCATCTGCGAATCACTGCTTATTAATATGGATGGCATTCTCTGCGACTCTTGCGGAGTCTGTGCTGAGCGGGGGTGCATAAAATTAGCTGATAAGAGGCTAAAGTGCAAGGCGATTACGTTACCTAACGATCAGCCGATGTTACACCACTGGATTAAGGGTACAACTATTTTTCATTTTGTATGTAAACACGTGTATATGAGATTAACGTGCTTGATCATTCATGAGATTAATTAAATTATTGTTTGAATTTCATAAGGAAATCTTCCGGCTCTTGCGATATGCGAAATTTGTCATGAGGAGTGCAGTGCGGAGCCTGGATTGATTGATTGGTCCTGCTGTTGGTGTCAAAGATATGCTCATGAAAATTGCAAAGCAAGAATCGAAGAGGTAATTGTATTCCACAGATTCCAGTTCCAATCGCAGTACTCGGAGAGAAACGTTAAATAGAAATTATGTAGGAAATCGCGGCAAATTTTATCATACACAGAGAGAAATATTCAGTAAAAATTATGCGACGATTCATGTAATCCGCAATGGGGAATCGTTTTCGCGCAATTTTTATAGGAGTGGAAGAGAAGAAATCTGAAGCGTTCAGTGAATTTTCAAGTGCATCACCGAACAAAGAACGAAATTGTCACGTAATTTTTCGAAGAAGTAAAATCTTGCAGAAACTTCCCGACTTGTGCCTCTAAAATAATAAATTCTTGAACGTTTAATAATTTTTATGAAGCTGGTGAGTTATTTCTACGTTCCGTTCCGTAAAATTTCTCAATCGTTGGGAAAAATTACGGAACGACTTGTTGTCCCAGCAGTGAATCATTAGACGGGTAGTTTACTTTTACGGAACAAATCATAGAATTTTTGTGACGATTTGTACAATGTCAGTTCCGACTCACACTTTTTATTCAATTTTACTTCGCTCGCGGTTATGTTTCGAAACGTATTTTTTACGTTTTTTTCTGATAATTTTTATTGAATTTTTCTCTCTGTGTACGAAAGGTAATCGAGGAGCGAAATTGTAGTTAAATAAAAAATGCTTTTTGCGGAGGATATTTTACAATTCGTTCGGTAAAAAACACATGTATGGATGCAAACATTATCCTTCCTATACTGTAAAATCTCCTGTAACGGTAGAGTATTTTTTCCTGGCACTTATGTGAAGGACATGGGGACGTACGAAAGTGAAATTTTACACTGAGAAGACAAGAGTTTTTGAGAAGTTTGTCTTTACTTGTATCAAGGAATTCATAGCTCGAAAATTACCAAGCGCACAATATCTCATACTAAGAAAAAAAAATCCTACGCCAAGAAATTTCATATTTGTCCGACAGATGAGGAGAATTGGTACATATTAAGAAAACGAGTTCTCAAATCAATTTATGCATCTTTTGCATGAAAATATTTTAGAATTGAGGCTAAAAACTATTAAATTAATAAATTTAATTTTGCTTGGCATGAGAATTACTTTCTTGCCATCAAGAAATTGTCCTCACCTTTAGGACAAGTACAAAATTCCTTGGCGTACGTTTTTTTAATGTAAAATATTTTGCTCTTAAAAATTTTCAAACCACGAGTTTCTTGATATCAGTAAAAACGTACTTCAAAATCCGTAGTTTTTCTCAGTGTAACATATCGCGATGGATGAAGAAAATTGTTTGCCATCACAGAAAAATTCTTATAATTATGTAAATGATTATGCGATATTGAAAAATTATTCACGATCATTGCATAATTTGTGGTAGCATAAGTCAGGGGTCGGCATCAGTCAATATATTATTAATATTGAGAGAACTTACACCTTAAAATAATTAACGTTTACTTATCGTCACTGAAATTTGAAATCTAATTTAATTTAAATTTTCATTTGACTATGGGCTGGTTGGATCAAGTCCTGTTAGTCAAATAAATCATCAGACTAAATGGATGTCTGAAGTAAACTTAATCCACAGTTAGACAATTTAATGAATCCATCGTGGAATGTTTCCATTCAGCCGTGAGCCCGTGAATGTCGACTAAATACTTCATAATTAGTGGTATGCTTGGGAAATAGTAATGACACATCGATACACCACATTTTTTGGTGAAATACCATCGATGAACTTTCGATCAAAATTGATCGCCAGATTATTTTGATTTAATCCGATACTTAACTGAGGACTTTCTCAACTGGGCTTAGTGCAATCCGGCTTATGAATTAAATAAATGATATGGCCTGGTTCCACCAAGCCCAGTAATGAAAAACCTCAATTGAGTATCGGAATTAGTAAAAATAATCTGCCGATCAATTTTGAATGAAAGTTCATAGAAAGTATTTCACCAAAAAACACGGTGTACACGGAAAGAATATAAAAGTAGTTTTTACTGTGGGGACATAGTAATTTTGAATATGAGACATTAGATGTAAGATCATATTCGCCAAACATTAAAATTTACTCTTTAACATAGTAATTTTGAGGACAAATGAAAAATTACGATGAAAAAACGCGGCGGATGAAAAAATACTGGTGACCGAATGAGAATATGATGGAGTCTATAAAAAAAATTACTGCGGAACATAGGAAAAACTGCGAGTTGGTATAGTAGAAAGTGATAGCCCAGAAGGTGAAATTTCATTTCTCACTAGTAAAGTTTATGAGAATAAACATGATTTTTTACTTTCGTGAAAAAAAAATTCCTCCTCTTTCAAAACGAATATTCGTGGAAGAGGAGAAGGGAGAGCGTTATTTTTCAAGCACCACACAGTGATAAAAAGTTGATTAACTTTAGATAAAAGGTGCTGGATGTTAGAAACCGCATAACAATTGCCTATGGAAGCAGGAGGAATTTCATTTTTTTCCGTCACGTTTACGTAGGGCGCTCACTCACCACCCATCAACGAAGGAAGGGAATTCCAAGAAATTCAAACGATCGACGATTCAAATACCCGCTACAGTTTTCACTAGTCAACATAGTAATTTCTGCTGTTTCGTAGAGTGAAATGTTAGAGGTGCGAAAGTATAAATCAAAATTTTAAAACGTAAAAGAAATTACGATGTAACAGTAAAAATTCATACGATTTGAGTAATTTTTCGTTGATTCAATAGTAAAAATACCTTTAAAGAAAAGCGTTTAAGACGCTCTTGAATATAATTTTATCGTGCGCGCATTTTATACTGTTTCTTTTATTCAAAATTACTATGTAAAATAGTAAAAAAGAAATTTCACATTGCAAAAATTCCGTTAAAATAGATTAGATTTTAAAGTTTTTCCGGTGTGGTCCTGGATTACTATGTTTACATAGTTATTTTCCATTTTATATTCTGTCCGTATAATAGAGTGGGGAAAGTGTTCGAGTGACGAAAAATTCAGTTGAGCGGAAACGCGACTATAAGGAGAGCGACTATAACGGGACTCCTCTGCATTTGATTACATCAATTATGCTATGAGAGAATGCTTCACATTTACTTGATGATTTTTTCAATTGAGGATTTCCGGTTGGGGAATTGATGAAGTTTCGAACGAATTTCATTCATACAGTGTGTAATGAAGTTGTGAAGGGGAATTCACGTGCAGGTTATTTCGAGAACATCCGGAGTATTGACCGATTCTTGAAAATTTTTTAACAGACTCTTTATTCACCATTGGGAATTGTTCATTCTAAAATTTCTCAAATCATAATAAGCTTGATATGAAAGAAAGTTTTAATAATTAAGAAATTTGAGTCATTGATTTATATTTACTTGACTATTTTATTTATATTTTTGATGTAGAATATTTGTACATTTTCATCACTATTTTTATTACATTATCTATTTATTATTTTTTATCAAAAAAACAATAATTGGATAAGTTTTGTGATATAAACACTAATTGATTCTATTGATATCTCTCTATATTATAAAAGTCCAAATCGGCTTCTGGTGATGAAAATTTAGTATCCGAAATTAAGACTCCGAAATTAAGGGTCAGAATAAGGGTCCACTAAAATGTCATGGGGATCATATGGGGGTTATATGTGGGTTGGTGAGCGGAGCGAGTAGGGGGCGTAGCGCCCTAGTATTATTTATTAATTATTTTTCACTTGATATCATGTTTTTGACTTGACTTTGTACAGTCAAGTGTCGGTGTTCGTAGTGACAGGTTCCAACCTGCCCACGAACATGGGCCCACTGACGTCTGGGTTTGTGATAAATCTAATAACTCATTATAGTTATATCTCAATAACTGATGCCCCTGAGGATGGCCCTGCATAGCGGGACCGAAACGTCGGGCTTAGTCTCAACATAATTGGACTCTTGTTGTTTTATTTCATTCCATCTTCAAGTCTGCTGCTGATCGCACAGGCTAATACCAAATTGTTCATCAACTCACTGATCAAAGAATACACTTAGGGATTAATTATTTTTCTTAAAAATAACATCTTCATCGCGCTGTGTGTAAAGTGACATTTTGCACATGCTTAGCTTACGTAAAATCCCGCTTAATATGCAGTGTCATAAAAAATAGTGTCCTACACTCGTGGGAAGTGTTCTTTGACCCGTGAGAGGGTAGCGTCAGTAAAGCGTAGGTACTCGTATCGAAATATACTATTCTGTTAGAGTTTCGAAAGTCGTAGTATACTGTTCAACCTCGCGATTGCTTGGTTACTGACTTCTTCTAGTCAACATTTTTCATCACTGAATACAGGTTTTTATTTTTTATTTTTGGTACATGTTGAAAAGACACTATTATCGAAAAATGTATGTCAGAGAGGGAGGAAAGGAGAAAATCTCTGGTTTGGAATGGGTCAAGATTGACTGAATTTCATCCATACTGGACATGCGTTGGGCCTTCCTCGGACAATTCTTGCCCATTCTTCATTGTCTGCCAGGGATGGAGTAAAAACGTAGGAGAAGGGATACTTCGCAGTGATTGCGAAGACCCATGAGTCCGTGCATTTTTCCAACATGTGTTTGTCATAATATTTCACGAGGTCTGAAGGACCCGACTACAGCGAAGTAAACTGGTACATTTTTGTTTGAGTTAAATAAAGTTCTTGTTCGATAGAAAATATATTTTGAATCATTTCGAGTTGAATTTCGGATTTTGCCTGAAAATTTTGTACGTAATGAAATTAAATAGTTATGAGACATAAGGTATGCTTTTAAGTTTATATTCTGTCGACGAATGGTATAATGAAGAATAATATTTAATGAGTGAATTTCATACGAAAATTGAAAAATCTGTTTGCATCGCAACAGGAATTTTCTGTAAGAAAAGTCTCTTGATAAATTCTCTTCAGACCATTCATTTCAGAGATATTTACAGAGTAAACTGTATATGAATTTCTTCTGAAAGTAAGAGAATCTCGTGGACTGACATGTGCTGGAAATGGACGTGCAACTCATTTCGTGAGTATCTCGGGAATGAAGAAATTTGTGATAAATTATGGAGAAATCTATCGACGGCGGTGACTGTGTGGTTAGAGTGTAGGATTGACATGGGGGTGACCCGGGTTCGATCTCCGGCTGGGGGGTCAAAATTTGTGACATTCTAAGTCTCACGGTTGCATTATCGAGCGGGCGGCTCGCAAAAGACGACTGTACCTGGGCAGGTTTTGCCCTCAGATGAGGTTTTCTCTTATCCTTCGACGAATGCTGTACAGGGGGTTGGTGGGTGGGACGGGAACAAATCGTCAAAAGGCTATGCGAAAGAAAGAAAGAAAAAAAATCATGACTAGTCTCTGTGGAAATAGATGAATTGAAATTTCTCATAAAAAATTTTTCCTCATGAATTTCCTGAGAATTATTCATCCAGAGATATTTGCAGGATAAGGTATAAATTATCGTTTGACCACTTCCTAACTGTAATAATCCGCATTCTTCCGGAAAAAGAAGGCGTAGATTTTTTCGTGATTATTGCCTTCGGCAAAAAGTGGCTACTTTAAAAATTGTTTGCTTTTTGTCGGATCATACTTCGTGTCAAATCAAACGCACTATTCGCACAATTGTTATTCAACAAGAATAAGATCGAAATATAGAATGAGTTTCAATTATTAAAAAATCGAATTGTTTGATGGACAGTCAAGTCGAGGTTTCACAACTCAAGTTTGAGTCAAGTACTCGATCATCTCAAGAAATTGATGAATGCGAGTTACTCAAAATTTCGGAATTGACCGAAATCTCAGGTTATGCGTAATTTTTCGGATTCTCGATGATTTCAACACTGAGCAAAAAATCCTTATTTTGAGATTTCAAAAGATCCTTTCTTTGAGATTTAAATTCTCAATTTGAGATTTGAAAAATTTCTATTTCATCCATCTGAAAATTTCAAGGCGAGACTTTCGAAAGTCGTAATTTTTTTTACGGCATTTGGAGTCTCCTTTTCGGGTTCCATTTCGGCACTCTATCCAACCCGATGCATGCGGCTGTGGATCCTACACTATACCGCATTCGCACTCCTATAGAACATAGGAGTAGCATGGGAAACCACAGGAAAGCCATGCCGGTACAGGCGGTTACTCTATTAGCAACCTCCCGCTCGCTGGAGCTTTCCGTTGAAAAATTCGGTTCCACGGGGAATCGAACTCACAACCTTTCGCACACTAGACTTGCGTCTAGCCCACTCGGCCACCGACGTCGGTAAAGTCCTAATTTGCGACTTGAAAATCTCTATTTTAGTCTTCTGAAAATCTTAACTTGAAATTTTCAAATCTCAACTTGAGACATTCAAAAATTTCAACTTGAGATCGTAACTCTCAACTTGGAATTAGTTTTTGCTTCCGAATGTCAGCTTTGTAATCGCTCAAATTTAAGTTTCCAATTTTTTGTGTTAGGGTTACTAAATATGGTCTAAGAAGTCCGAATATGCGATTGAAAATGGTGTCCGTATGTATGTGTTTTTCCTTCATAGTTTTTCCGAAATTTTCTTGAAAGGCATCCACCGAATTTCATGAATTTTTTCATGAATATAGACTTCAATAAGTTCTATTCATTAACATCAATCAAAATTCAATTTTTTATACAGATTCGGGAAAATTGACATTATTACAAAAATCTATTATTCTACGATCATTCAAAAAATTTATAACATTACTCTCTTGATTCTATCAGAATATGATCGGGGCCGCACAATTCGTTACAGCATATTGTTTATGCGATTTGAAAGAGAAAATATTTTTTTTCATAATTACTGAAACAATCAGCAGCAATATCAATTGAATCAGGGCTTGAAAAGTATATTTCAATACCTTTTTAATCAAGTTGACGAATGATGAGAACCGCATCATTTGAGGCGCTATTCACAGGCGAATTGGGTGAAACCGCAATTACAAATGTAATCGGCTACCCAGGATTACGGGGCTGATCGCACTGATTACCATTGCCTATGTGATAACCGTAATTACCAAGAGCACAGAATGTGATTACATGATTACAAATGATTTCGTCGATTACATTCTGTGATTACCAAACATCTGTAATCATTGAAATCTTAAAAAATAGCCTCTTATTAAATATGAATTACTGGAATAATTAATTATTAGAATCTGCAAAGAAATGAGGAAAGAGGGGCGGGGATTAGAACAGCGGAATGCAGTCTCCATCACTCCATCTAAAAATTTGGGCATTTATAAGTGCTATCAGCAAAATAAATTTACTGAATATTTACCATTGATGGAGAATGAAACTTACCAGCAGATAATTCGGAGATAATTCAGTTATTGGTTCTCCAGAGTAAGAAGAAATTTTAACTCTTTTAATTCAATTTTCTACGGACAAATGCTCTGTGCAAAACGCATTAGCTATGCCAGGTTCTGAACCATAAACATCTGGGATTCCGAGAAAAATTGGTCCAGGGATCTCTGAGATTTATCGTTGGTAGAAATGACGTGCTCGAAAATTCAAAAACAAAATTCACGGTCTTACTAGGAGCAACTACGAAAGATTATACTGATTACAAATGATTGCAGTGATTACAAATGATGACAAAAACTTGATAACAAATATTGTAATCATGTGATTACAATGATTACATTGATTTCACTGGGATTACAATTGATTACATCAGCGAGTGACACCACGATTACGCCGGTGAATAGTCCCTCGGCATCATTGCTTAACAAGTTATACAATACCTACATGAGCCTTTTACATCAAAATTTCTACCTGTATTGAACTCAGGTACCAGTCTATCACGATAAATACTTATTCAAATTGATTCACGGTCCCCACTAACTTCTCACAGAACCTGGGTTAACCTTAGATTGGTCACCATATGAGGGGAACACCGCCGCGCGTCGTTTTTCTTTAATTACAATTGACTGGCTAACAGGAAAAATTCAAAAAAATTGAATTTGTCAGTTGAAGTGTCTAAAAAATTCTAGTAGTTTTTTGAACAGCATATTTCCCGAAATTCCTAAAGAAAGCAAATTATTTTGAACAGATGAATTTTTTTTCCCATGTTAAATGAAATTGCCCATTACGCGACGTTGCCGAAAACTCGCTAAACGCGCTCGGGCAGTGTAAAGTGAATTCAGCAACGTTAGAGCCTAAATAACACGCCGGCGGGGAATCCCCGCAGAGCTGACCAGAATCGCAGGGGCGCGTATGGTAACCATACTAGGGTTAAACTCCAGCAAATTCCTGAGTAAACTCTAATTAATCCCGGCTATACAATAATTAAACTTGGTGTGAAAACGAATTCGAGTCTTAAAGTTTTCCTGGAAAACACATTTTTCCTGGAAAAAATTGCGGGCGGCTGTATCTTCGATACGGCTGTAATTGTACGTGGATACGTCCATGGTCTTTCCTTCTTTTTCGAATTTTCTAGAAACTTCTTGCATTCTCTCGAATTTTCTAGAAACTCCCTGAATTTTTTCGAAATTTCAAGAAACTTCTCGAATTTCATCGAAATTTCTAGAATTTTCTAGAATTCCGATAGATGGCGTTGCACATAAAGACCGTTTCCCAAAATGACCGCTCATATTGAAACCATAGATGTATCCACGTCAAAAACGGCGCTATGTCATACGAAAATTAAATAAAAGTTGGAGAGAACAATAATAATACTGGAATTATACTTACTCTTTCCGAAAGTATAACGGAGCGTGAAATTCTTCACACGTGTGTACGTTGACAATAAATAATACCAAGAATGAATGATTTGTTAATCGCTGTCCCTGTTACTGTAATAAACAATTTTCACCACAGATATGTGATTTTGGAAAGTTCAAACTGATGATAATACCACCATACAGCCTGGAAGTTGTTAACAGACGAAGAGCAGTACGGAAACGCCTTCAATTACGTTCGATTATTCCACCAGTTTGGCCGAATTGGAAACCTCTTATCGTCGTTGGTAACTCCATAGACATTGGAATAATTCAATACTTCAATTTTGCCCTTTCCCAGCCGACACAGTGAATAATATCACGTTTGATGTAAATTTCCAATTTTCCAGCCAATAGAAAATCTGGGAATAATGATGGGGCGGAGATACTTTCTCTATTTCGGCGTTTGCTTAATCCTGCACAAGTTGTTGATCTCTCGGATCGTGATCCGGTGGCTGCACTCGAGTGGTGTCGACTACTGGGGGATAATCCATGTAATGTTCTAGTGGCTGGAGGCGATGGAACTGTGGCTTGGCTTCTAAATGCTATCCATAAGTTAAAATTGAAGGTGATTCTTATATTTAAATATTATCATGAGATGAGGGGAAAGAAGACATCCAATACACTCACGTGCGGGAAAATTTTATTGAATAATCTGGAGCTTTCGTGGGGGAATGCTATTGGATTTCTATGGAAATTTTGCATCTTTTTTTTTGTGGATTTCTTGAAGGGGAGATTCACCCCAGGAAATGGTATTTTACACAACAAGTGAGGCCAGTCGGACTTTACACGCGAGTGCGGCGAAGCCGCACGAGCCGCATTTCTCTTACCTCACGAGTTGTGCNTAATAATAAATAATTAACTCAAAAAGTGAAATATGAATACACAAGAAGATATGTTTAGTGAACACGATGAAATACTAACAGATAATATACTTCGAAACGCTCAGGAAGCAGAGAAATGCTATCAAGAAAAAGCCAACTTTGAAAGAAAAAAGAAAATGAGTATTTTTTTTAAATATTAGAGAATAATTTGTTTTGCGTGATTTTTCTCCACCCCCCCACCCTGAAGAAAANAGAAAAATCGCGCAAAAAAAATTATTCTCTAATATTTAGAAAAAATACTCATTTTCTTTTTTCTTTCAAAGTTGGCTTTTTCTTGATAGCATTTCTCTGCTTCCTGAGCGTTTCGAAGTATATTATCTGTTAGTATTTCATCGTGTTCACTAAACATATCTTCTTGTGTATTCATATTTCACTTTTTGAGTTAATTATTTATTATTATGTAGTTTATTTTTTAGCTTTTTGCACTGCGATTTGTTTCGTTAAATAGTGTCTAATGGTCAGCTGATCGGTGTATGGTTGGGATAATGGGTTATGTTTGTACCGCAAGATGTCGCTAGGTGTTATTGAGAACGTGTAAAATACCAGTAAAATAGCATAGGACGCGTGTAAAACTGGGAACGTCTGTTAAGTGAAGAACGATTGGTGGTGTGTGTAAAATTCGACTTACCGACCTCCAAACGCCCCTGTTAACCTGCACTTTACACGCACGCATGACATAAAAAACTTTTTCGTTTTTCGAGGGAATAAATTAAAAAATAGTATTTTCCGCGTGATTTTTCCTCACTAATCTGATTTTGTCAATCAAAATTGTCTCCGTGCACTCAAAATTGAAGATTCCAATTTGTTTTAATCGGAAAGTCGACTTAAGGATATCCAAGTATCTTTTACAGTTTGATACAGACCACACTATAGATTAAACCATTTTCAATCATTAAATTTGTCAATTAAATTGCGTGAATAAAATTTGAAAAAAACGTAAATATTCGGCGTCATTCAAATTACATTTTGCATAGAATTATTATTTGTTTATAACTAAGCATTTATTGTTTATAATTAAATAATTAAAATTGTTCAACTTTCCGAAACCTAATTTTTTTATGCATGAAAACGATTTGTGGTAAAATGCTGAATATGAATAAATTTTTTACGATTCCGAACAAATGATTTATATGGTGGAAAATTGATATGACTTATTTTTAAAAATTCTCGTAATTTTGAAAAATTGCAATTTTTTAAATTATTTCATCAATCTTTCTCCAAAAGTAAACTTTCTAATTTTTCTTCAGATTTTTCAAATGTTTTCTAACGGTTCAATATCGAGATTCACATTCAGACTGGCAAAGTTTACATAATAAAATCATTGTATAGAATGTCTGGAAACTTAGGTTCAAATGGAGCTTAAATGAAAGCTCTTCTGTTTGATTACAAAAGTAGAAAAGCATTTCGTTGGAGCAAAAAGAGCCCAAGTATTTGAATATCCTTAAAGTACTTTGTACAGTGATGGTCATCAAACTTGTCAATCGTACTCAGTGTTATTTAAATTATATTCTACAAAAAATCACTTTTGCGTCCGAATGGAAGCGTTGAATTCTTTCAATTTTACATTTCCTAATTTTGCTTGGAAATACTGTAGAAATCACGTAAAAATGACGTAATTTGATCTAATTATGATGTATCGCTGCAGCATCTCAGAAATCACTGTTATTCGCGTGAATTTTCATGGAGTTTTCCAGAACTCAAGAGAGGAAATTTATTTTTCGCTTCAGATTTTTTGCGAGTTTTTACGCAAAAATTCCCGAAAGAGCATTTCGCATGACTTACATTTTCTCATATAATTTTCCCTAAAGTTTTTCCCTGTAATAATAGAATAGAAATATTCTATTTCGAAAAATCGAATTTCCTCAATCCTTTTTTTTTGGGGGGGAAAAACAATGAAAAGATCAGTTTAAGTGTGCATCATTTTTTCGTGATATTATAACTCCTCACGTATTATTCTTTCAGCCAATTCCATCCGTAGCAATATTGCCACTGGGCACAGGAAACGACTTGTCTCGTGTGATGGGCTGGGGAAAGGAGCACGATTCAAATTTCGATCCGACAGATATTTTGCAATGCATTCAGACGGCCCATTCGGTCAAACTTGACAGGTATACGACTACAGAATTCCTTTTTTTGTCTCGTTGAATTCATCAAATGATTGATATTTATTGAATCTAAGAAAAAGAATGGATATATATGTGTAACTGAATCTCACAGGTGGGCGGTGACGATGAAATCCGACAGTCGTAGTCTCGGCTTTCGTGGCACACCACAGAGGATGTTTATGTATAATTATATGAGTGTGGGCGTCGATGCTCAGGTGGCTTTGAATTTCCATCGAACGAGAGAGAGCAAATTTTATCTCTTCAGCCACAGGATATTCAATAAGGTATGGCTCCAATGAATTCAGGTCTGGGACAAAAGGAGAACAATTTATAATAGTGGGAAGATATCGTCAGATTGTGGAGTGGTAATTCATAATGAGTTATTTACAAATACAAATACAAATAGATGATTCCAATTCTTCGCAGATTTTTCGAGTCCTTAAATCATATTTTTTTTAAATAAGCGGACTTGTCTATTGATATTATACTGACAATATGTGTTGTCGAAAAGAAAAATTAAGATACTTTTTTTTATATTTTCCAACAGTTATAATAAGGATTTCTCAACATTTTTCCCATAAAATCATTGGTTTCCGGGCTAAATGAACTTCTTCACTGAAGTTTAATATGAAAAAGCTATTATAAAAAAACCTAATGCATACGTTGAAAATTTTATTGAATATCTATTGAGCTTCTATTGGATCGTCTATTTGTTTAAAAATTCCGAAACTTTTCTGCGCAATTTTTTTTAATAAACATTTTTTCCCATACCATTTTTTCTTTTGAAGTTGTTCTCATAAAAATTCCCTTTTTCGCGTGAAATCTAAAATAAAAGAACAATAAAAAAACTGTGAAATTTGTCAATTACGAACGATAAACACCAATAAAATCTTCAATACAGGTTGAAAAGAATTGTTCAGCGAAAACGCCAGGTTTTGATCTAAATTTTTCTCGAACGTTTTATCTTGATGAGTGATTTCGCGAAGAAAGCCCGGATGAGTTAATTTGAGGGTTCGTTTCAAATAAAAGATTTTCAGCCTGATGAAGATAAAATGTTTTGTTCAAGAATGTTTTAAAGCTCTTATTTTCCACCACGGAAAAATGATATTGACTATCAAAAAATTCCGAAACTTTTCTACGCAATTTTTTTCAAAATATTTTTTTCTGTAGAACTTCTTTTCTTGACATTGTTCCTATAAAAATACCTCTTTTCGCCTGAATTCTAAAATAAAAGAACGACAAAAAAGCAGTGAAAAATCCTCGGAAAACGTGCGGAAAAGCTGTGAAATATTTCAATTAGAAACGGTGAACACGAATAAAACTTTCAATACAAGTCCAAACGAATTGTTGAGCGAAAGCACCAGGTTTTGAAATAATTTTTTTTCGAACGTTTTAACCGAAATGAGTTAATTTGAGGGTCCATTTTGAATAAAAGATGAAAAAACATTAAAGAAAGGAATTTATATAGCGTTCCAGATCTTTGTGACGTCATAGGAAATAATTGCATGGGATTTGGATGAGGTAGGAAGAGAATCGGGATTATTCTCAATATGAATAACCAGAAAATTTTACTGAAAAAAATGGATAGTCCAGACCGGGAATCTGGTAAACATAGAATGATTTTTTCGAGAATTTTATAAATCTCTTATTTGTCTCCACGGAAAAAGGATATTGATTATCAGAAAACGCAATTTTGTAAAGACATTTTTTTTCTATACAACTTCTTCTTTTGAGATTGCTCCTACAAAAATGCCTCTTTTCACCTGATTTCTAAAATAAAAGAATAATAAAAACGCAGTGCGAAAACCTTGAAAAACGTCGAGAAAAACTGTGAAATGTTTCAATTAGAAACGGTAAACACGAATGAAACTTTCAATACAAATCCAAAAGAATTGTTCAGTGCAAACGCCATGTTTTGACATAAATTTTTCTCGAACGTTTTATCTTAATTTGGCGAACAAAGTCCGAATGAGTTAATTTGAAGGTCCATTTCGAATAAACGATTTTCAATCTGACAAACCGATTGATTTTTTCGACAATTTTTTAAAGCTCTTATTTGTCTCCACGGCAAAAGAATATTGCTTGAAGCATCACCATCTTCCTTCAATTCGTAATATTCTGCAGATAAACTCCCAGCAAAAAATTTTCCTATCTCGTATCATTCCTTCACTATTGTATTATTCATCAATTTATTGATTCCCAGTTATTGTATCTGGGCTTTGGTACACAACAAGTAGTGGAGAGAGAATGCAAAGACCTCGACAAGAAAATTGAAGTCTACCTAGACGGTGAGCAAATAAATTTACCATCGGCCGAGAGCATTGTCATCCTGAATATCCCATCGTGGGGAGCTGGAGTAAAACTCTGGGAGCTGCGACTCGAGGGTGAGTGCAATAACAAAGTAATACTTCCAAAAATTTTCCCCGCCGAAATGTCACATTTTCTCATTTATTGATAGGCAATGAAGGATTCGATATGCAGAGCATAAATGATGGAAAACTAGAAGTGTGCGCGATTTATTCATCATTTCATATTGCCCAGTTGCAAGTTGGTCTCTCGCAGCCTCATCGATTGGGTCAAGCCAAAACGGTCAAGGTAATAATTGTTTTTCCTCTCTCCCTCTTCACCCCAAACCACCAACATTTCATGAATAATTGAAATGACAAACCGATGATGATTTACTGTTTTAATCAACTACTATTAATTTTATATTATTTTACAGATTAAATTACTCGATTCTTATGCAGTACAAATTGATGGTGAACCATGGCTACAAAACCCATGTGAATTTGTCATAACGCACTGTGATCATGCTTCTATGTTAATGTGTAACCAGAGATTATAATTTTCATTCGGAAAATTAGGGGTCTGAAATTATTCCAGCTCTTTGCTTTGAATTGCGTGAGATATCGTACAAAAATTATATCATAGTATTTGCACATGGCACATGGTACATTATTATTATCATTATTTGGTAGAAGTATCGGTGGTTATTGTGAAATTTTGCAATATTGATCTGCAAACTCTTCGAAAGTTTTCATGATATTAATCCCCTCAATGTTGTGATAACCATGGCAATGTGTTTCATAGAAATTTGAATTTAAGCTACTGCATCGGATTTTAGTAAAATTGAGTTTTTCCAATTTATGGTAGAGGAAATATAAACAAGTTTTGATGATATTCATTTTCCATTGCGAATGAGTTGGGTCTTGTCACGATAATCCAAGGGGAATCCGCTAGAGCTTTTAAACCCTGCGTTATTCATGTGGAGTGTATGGCACACTCAAATTTTGTTTTTAATTATTTTTTTGGGTTTTTCAATTGGTTCGAATAGAAATAAGAGTTGGAATATCAATATTCCCATACTTCGACAATTTGATGACTTTTGTTTTCTCTTTTTCGGTATTTTTGGTTGAGGTAATCCAGATACTATCTACAAATTGATAGCAATTTGTATATCGTGGAAGAAAACTGAAGTCCGTTATTATTTTTCTTGGTGGTTTAGGGCCACCTTATTGACCCGAACTTCGTCCAAATTCTAGACCATGTTGAGATAGGATTCCAGAAGGGTTTATTTAATAATCGAACTCCATTTAATTATAATTGAAGTATATTGGTTCAATAGAATCGATACTATAAAATCAAATGATAACTAATTAGGTTCGGTATCGCGCGCGGAACTATTTACTCAACATTTTTGGCTAGGAGTGGACATCCGTCCAACTTCGGCTCCTGCCGTACTCTTCCTTATTCCAGAGGCTGAAAAATGGCGCTAGCCTAAAATGCTGCGTAAGTATTCTCCCGATTTTGCGTCACTAATACAACCATATGTCCCCAGCTGGACTCAAGTAACACCGTGAGACTGTTTATTGAGCATTTTAGAATTATTTCCATAAAGAATATTTTAATAAAACAAAATCAACGCGTGGATATCTCCACATATTACAATGCGTTTAATCAAATTGTCAAGTTGAGTGAAATTTTGAAGTAGTTCAGGCATAATCGGCGTCACTTGAATGACATTTTCTGCATTAGTTCTCTGAATTGTTCTTTTCATCTTCTCCAGCGATGTGATTTTAGACCCTAGAGGATCATTTGGGCTCAAAAGGTGCGGAATGTTATCAATATTATCCAAGTATACATAACTCCACATTGACAAAGTGACTGATTAGTTTGTGAAGACGATCGCCTCAGTGGTTGTATAGTTATTCGCATAAAACTTGAACAAACGGAACAAGATATAATTAATTTAGTATAATCGATGCGGCTTCACATAACTCGATTCTAACTATTGGATGTTGAGCGGAATCGTCTCAGCGGTTGTTCAGTTCTTTGGATGAAACTTTCAAAATTTTCTCTTTTTTTCTAATCAACAAATCGAGACGTTATTGGTTATCTCCATAATGGGTCACCCCCATCGCGGGAGTGAGCGACCGACACTGATTTTCTTAGTTTGTAATTGATTTCTGTCAATATTCAGTTCTGGAATTATGGGAAGAGAGATATAGAAATGAATGGGACATAAAGACGTGGAGATTGAATTCGAGTTCACTGTTGGAAAAAAATTGAAACTTCATGACAAGTTTAGAAGGAATTGTTATTAGAGCGACATTGCATCCGATTTGGGGGATAATATAATGGATTTTCAAGTTGTTGAGCCACATCAAAACAAGAATTCCGTATCTTCCTAGAATTTGCAATCAAAAGATGACTATTGAAAAGATGAATATTGCAAATTTAAGAATATATTCACCTGAATTTTTCTGATTTCTGTTAATTTTCATGGAATAGATAATTTGAAATTTACAATTTTCATTAACTTTTTCATCAAATTGTAAATTTCTAGTGACGAGATTCCTTCAAATTCTAATGGAATTATCACTGGGTAAAAATTTTCCCGAACTGTATCCCGAATTTAAGCCAAAATTATGTTACAGCGTTGAGTGTCTAAAGAACTAAGTTAATTTATTCAAAAAATAATAATTTTCCATATCAACATTTCAATTATTTCAGAAGTCTTCCCCAAAAAGTAGGCTTCCTAATTTTTCTCCCGACTTTTAAATGTTTCCTGCAAAGACTCAATTGAACGTCAAGTTTAGATTTAAAAAAAGTTGAAACAATGTAATAATAGCGAAATTTTCTAGTGTAAAATTGACTTTTTGATGCAAGCTACGGTGTTCAACCACAAATATTGCAAAAGATTTTATAAAAGAAATTGGCGGAGTGCTTGATATCCTTAAATCCAAGAAACAGATAAAAAAAGGTACTGAAATATCACATGAGTAATGCAATGTCAACATTGAAGGACACAGACTAAGTATTTGTCACTTAATCACCGAAAGCAAAATATAATTAAGAGAATGGGAGACGATCTTCATTAGGAAGAGCTCTGAGATTTTTTTATGTAAAACTGTAATTGAAAAAAAAAAACAAAAATACTACGCTGGACGTCTGAATGAAATTTTCCCCAGGGTTTGATGATTATCAAGGAGAACAGCACGGAATGGAGTGCTCCAGAATTAATTTGATTCACTCGATAAAGGCTACCTCTATAAATTTCCTATATTTTCATCTGTATGAAGGAAAAGACCGTACAAACAAAGAAATAAAAAACAAAATAAGATCTACGATTTGAGTTGAAAAACTTATGAACCTGTTCTCCCCGTCTCTCCAACGACGAGAAAAAAATTGTCTTATGTGTACATATATTTACTGGCTAAGCATGGGAACAACGTAATGAATTTCATTCTTTAAAGACGAAAGAAGGATTGCAATCTTTGCACTATGACTGAACGACAAGCCCGGATTCTGATGATTCTTTTAACGATTTGGCTCATGCATGAAATCTCAAGGGTTATGAAAACTTTGAAGCGATAATGAAGTTAGTTCTGAATCAAAGAACATTTAATGAGAATCATTTTGGTGGAGTAAATCATTCATCATTGGATTTATTTCTGCAAATGAGGTGGAGTAGTCATTCCAAAAGGTGAGGGCATCATGCATTAATCAGTGGAAAATGGAATTTTGAATATTGCAGAATACATTATTTTGTACGAAACATACATTATTCATTCGCGTTCCTCCATCTGTCCATATTATAAAAAATCCAAATCGACATCTGGTGATGATTATTTAGTACTTAAAATTGAGACTCTAAAAAAAGGAACAGAAATAAAGGGTCACAGAAACTAAGGATTATAAAGGTCAAAATAAGGGTAACGAGGGACAAATTATGGTTCACACGGTTCAGAATAAGGATCCAAATAAGGGTCATGGGGTTCAAAATGAACAAAATGAAAAAGACTTTTATAATAATCCCAAGAGACTTTCATAATAATCATAAGAAACCTTGGCGCCCTTATGGCCCTTATGACCCGAAAAGGTCAGCAGACTCACAAAGTTTTACCCCCGTTACCCCTCCTTGTACCATCAAATAAACTTTCGTAACAATGTCAAATAAGAGATTTGATCCTCTTGACCCTTGTGACTTTATTACAATAAAAATCCGAATCGAATTCTAGTGATGAAAATTTGGTACTCGAAATTAACACTCCAAAATTAAGGGTCAGAAATGAAGGGTCATAGAAATTAAGAATCACAAAGGTCAAAATAAGGGTCACGAGGGGCAGATTAAGGCTCACACGGTTCAGAATAAGGGTTCAAATAAAGGTCATGGGGGTCAAAATAACAAAGACCCATAACAATCACAATTAAGGGATGTTGACCCTTGTAATCTATCGGGACCCTGAAGCCCTTATGGCCCTTGTGACCCTAAAGAGTCAGTAGGGTTACAAAGGTTTACCCCCGTTACCCCTCCTTGTAACATTAAATCAACTTTCATAATAATGTCAAATAAGGTATTTGACCCTCTTGACCCTTATGACCTTCTTTTTATTGTTATAAAAATCCAAATCGAATTCTGGCGATGAAAATTTGGTACTTGAAATTAAGACTCCAAAATGAAAGGCCAGAAACTGTGTCACATGGGTCCAAATTAGGGTCTCGAGGGTCAGATTAAGAGTCACAAGGTTCAGAATAAGGGTGATGGGGTTCATATGGGGGGCATATATGGGCCATATGGGGGTTGGCGAGCGGAGCGAGCAGGGGGCGTAGCCCCCTCGTATGGGTTTCAGTTGACTATAGTCAACTGGAAAGTAGCGGCTTTCAAGTGCCTACCCACACTCATCTGAAACCCACTGTTCTAACAGTTGAGTGTGGGTAGGCGCTTGAAACCCGCTACTTTCCAGTTGACTATAGTCAACTGAAACCCGAAATAACGCATGACGCGCATGCGCATCACCTATTAAAAGAGAATAACAAGGAAGGAAATCTAACCTCCGAATAGTGAATACATGGAATGACTGAAAAATGAAAAGGTGATTTTCGAAGCAGATAAAATGAGCCAAAATGGTATAATTCCTAATAGTGATGAAGAGTTAGGCAGTGAGGAGAATTTATTTACTGATGAGGAGGAGTTTATTGGTGATGTGACATTTGAAGAAAATGGAAATAAAATATTCTCCGATTTTTCAATTACGTTTTGTATCATATTTTTTTATAACTATAACTTTCTTTTTTTTGCGAATTCTTAATGATTTTTAAAAATTGTATTTTGTAATTATTATAATTAATTTTTTTCAATTAAAAATACT